GCTTCTATGTGGGGTCCCTTACAGCAGCAACCGGCCAAGGGCCAGGCGTGCCCTCTCCTGCCCCGGGCCCCGCTCGCTTTCGGGGCAGAGGCCGGAACGGCCCGTATTAAGCCCGCCTCCCTCCTTCCCTCTCTCCCTCCCTCCCTCTCTCTCTCTGTTCCAGGCTGTGCTCCCCGGCCGCCGGCTCCTTCTCCCCACGGCAGCGGGAGCGACCCCCCAACACCGAGCCCGGGCAGGGCTCCCCAGTACCTGGGCTTGGGCATCGCTCGGCGGGGCGCGGGCCCGGCTCCCCGTGTCCATGGGAACCGCGCCGGGAGCGCCGGGAGCTGTAGTTCCGCGGGGACGGAGTAGCTCCCGCCCCGCCTCCGGCCCGGCCCCAGCGCTGTGCTCGCCCCGGCTGCTTCTGTTTGCAGCGATCCTCCGCCCCTCTGCCGGACACGCTGTGAGCGCCGGGTCCTCCGGAAACTTTGACTGTAGCCCTTCTTGTGAAGGGGCGAAATACGCCAGCTATGGAGGAAACCAGGGATGAGTAAACAAGTCATAAATGAGTCTTATGTGACCTCAGCCTTAAGCACTGGCTCTCTCTCCCTAAGTGAGATTTGTTAGCAGTGGAGGGAATGAAACGAGACCTGAGTAGTTCCCTTATACAGAACTGCTGTATAAAAAAGTGTATTTATGTTAGAATAATTATTGTGTAATTATTTTATTGTCCAGCGGAGGGCAGCGAGGGTAATTGGGAGGCTGGAGCAACTCACTTACGAGAAAAGGCAGAGAGAGCCGGGCCTGTTCAGCCTCCGGAAGAGACAATTAGGACGGGACCCCATCAATGTCTGTAAGTATATGAAGTGGAAGTGCCAAAGGATGGAACCAAGCCCTTCTCGGTGCTGCTGAACAGTAGGACACGAGGCAATGGGCAGAAACAGATGCATAGGAGTATAGGGAAGATCCACAGGAGTATGAGGAAGAACTTCTTTACTGTGCAGCTCACCGTGCATTGGAACAGATTGCCCACAGAGATTGTGGAGTCTCCCTCACTGGGGGTATTCAACAACTGTCTGGATGCAATCCTATGCCATATGCTCCAGGATGACCCTGCTTGAGCAGGAAGGTTGGACCAGATGACCCACTGTGGTCCCTTCCAACCCTAGCCATTCTGGGATTCTGTGATTTTGTAGTTACTGGGGCATACAAAGTAAGACGCTGTAACAAACAGGGGCTAGATTATTTCAAGCAAGATCTATCAAAATTCAAGTCCAAAAATCATGTTAGGCTTGAATCAGAAAGTAGCATTTAAAGGGTGCAGTAAAACAGCAGGATGACTCTGAATATGAAAGAGGTATAGGATGTCCTACAACAGGGAAGTGACCCCAAAATCCAGGACAACAATTACAGCTACCTTCTGTAGCTGAGTAGCTGCTTTGTGTCTTGAGAGAGAGGAGACAGAAAAACGTAAATGAAATAATTTGATCTGTTTGATCAATGCAAGGAAAGTGGACTCATTCATACTGATTAACACAGATTTAATTTTAACTGTTCCTTCTTCCCTACGCGAAGAAGGCTGATGTAGCCTTCTACTGACCTAAGTAATGCCCATTCTTTACATAAGATTTTTTTTTTTCTAAATTTAGCTTGCATAATCACTCAGTTTCAATTCCAGAAACATTCATATGGCTACTTTTGTCTGGTTTTATTTACTTCCAGGTTTTTACATGCGTCTTCTAAAGAATTTACTAACCTCCTACAGAAATCACGGTCTTGCTAATTAAAATCCAGAAACTTCATTGGTCAACGCTGTACAGTGCAGGTCATGCTGATGCCTTTCTAAGTGCATTTCTTTCATCAATTTCAGTTCGACAGAACACTTCTGGTATCTTGGTGTATATATGAAGCCAATGCTGATCTATAATCAGCGGCTAGATGTAGTAAAAACCCTGGACAAAGCTGGTCTTTCTCTGCCAAAGATAGCAAAACTATGGTAGGAATCACTCCTGGCACTATAACCTAGGCAGGTATTACTGCAATAGCAAGTGTATAAGATTAAAAAGCAAAGTATTTTTGCAGTGATTTACTCACTGATAGAGATGGCAAATCTGGAAGATGCTGCAGAACAGATTTGAGCTGGGAAGCACAGTGCAAGGGTGTACAATTATTAAGTGTACTGAAGCCCAAATTAAATTAGAAACTGTGAAAAACCCCGAACAAAACTCAAAAAACTTCTTCCTAATTCATTATTACTGAGTTACTAATCACCTTAGTTAAAGTTAACTCAAACTAATGGATTGCACTACATTGTATGGACTATTAAAGCTCTACCTAAAGCTTTAAGGGCTGAATTCCTTTATGCAAGAATGACTTCTTTCCTTCAGGAAAAATTAAAACCTATAAAAACCTGTAGTAGTCTGACAAGGGAATCCAACAGCCACACCAGCCTTCTGTTATAGGGAAATATAGGCTTCTATTTGAAAAAACCCCTTAAATCCAAAATAACAAAGAACAATAATGTTGTGGATTGTATTAAAAACCTCAAAGTTTTATCATTTGCCTGCTGTACTACAGGCATTAAGTGGGTCTTGCTTGTTTTAGAAATGAGCAGTTCTCTCAACTGCTGCTCAAAATTGAGAAGGCAAAATGAAGTTCAAGTAATATATTAATTTACATTGAATTCTAAATATTACCTTCTGACTGCTAGTTCGAAGGAAGCACAAAAGGTGTTCTTAAATTCATGACAGAAGGTGAAGTCTCCTTGCATGTGGTAACATATTAATCTCACCATGACAATACTTTTAAAACCTAGGTTCTGCAAGCCTTGAGAATGGGAAGTTCTTCAGCATCAGTCCCAGAAGTCCCTGCTCATTTGGCAGCTCCCATAGTATCATCACGCTGAAGATTAGGAGGAGATGAGAAAGGTCTAGTTCCTACCTGGGCTTTAGTCATGGGTTAGGTAGCACAGTATGAATTGTTCTGGTAGATGACTCAAGGTTAAGACTGAGATGTGGATTAGTCATAAGGCTTAGGCTGGATGAGGAAGGCAGATTATCTGCCTGGGCTCTGAAATTTTCAATTTAGCTGTCTGGTGTTGTGTGGTAGCTCTGTAGCTCGATTAATATGGAGCAAGTTCTTGAGATATGCATAGCTGTGTTTGGAAATGTACCTGTGTGTGTAAGAGACTCCACTTGCTGATTCTGTGAAGGGAAGTGTCTGCTTGAGGTTACTATCACTACAGAAACCTCACTCTTGCTAATCAAAATCCTGGAAGAAGCTCCATTTTTTAAGGTAGTGTTGTGACAGTAACTGTGATTCTGAGTGCATTTATTTCATAAAAATTAACACAGCATTTCTGCTAATGTGGCTGTATGGGATTAATGGTGACCTAAAATGAGCAGTTAGTAGTAGTCAGCCTGGAAAATGCTGCCATAAAAAGGGAAACTAATGCATGAATTCTTTCTGTAGCAGCAAAACCTGAACACTAAAAAGCAAAGCACTGTCTAGAGTTACCTATCCCGAGGGAGGCAGGAAGGTCATACTCTGCTTCATAGACTGTATGCTGCTTTATAAAACAACTGTTTGTAAGGCTGTGATAATGAAAGCTGTTTAAAAAAATCCATTCTGCAGATCAGCTGTTTGTATTGTATATCATATTGTCTCCAAGTTTAACAAAGATTTTAAAAACTACATGACAAACTCACTGCCAAAATGCTCCACTTTTTTTGCCTTCTAATAACAGAACCTGATCGGCCACAATCATTTGAAACTGGACAATTAGGAAAGAATTACTAGTTGGAGTGTTCTCAGTTATCATAATTTCATGACGACATGAAGGCTTTTGTGTTTGTAAACTGAAGTTTCTAGTCATCATATTTGAGAAACTTTAGACAATGACCTAAGTGGTGCAGTAGCATCTGTTCGAATTTGTAAACAGCCTGCCAACCTCAAATCTGGAATGTAACTATTCTGCTGATTGCAAAGGGGTGTTAATTCCTAAATGAATTTCACCATGCTATCTGTATCACTTCACATAGGGTGCAACACAAAAAGATGATGCCGTTGGTGCCAAGGTCTCCTGTAGCTCCCAATATGCTTCCCTTGAGGATGGCAGGAGACTGGCTGCCTATGAGGAGGTAAACCTCCTGCTGCTGGCCCTTCCTCATTCAAAGAGAAGGGTCTAGTGCCACAACTACCACCAAGGGGTGGAAGTTACCAGGAAGTTCTTTCCACCTTGCAAATGTGAAGGCATCTAGATAAGTATGTGTGTTATTTTGTTGTAATTTTCAAGACAAAGTGTTGGCCCACGGTACCATCCATGGAGTGGTGTCTGAGCCCTGTGGACTGAAGTAGCTGTGGCAAGAACTTCAAAAGCTTTCTGAAGAAATGTATTTGTCAAGTCAGCTTGCCTGTTTGCCTTTCCACTTAAGACCATGTTCTCTTCATGGCCTGTATCTCCCTTCCAGTCTATTTTAATTCTTTGGGAGGATACTCCCTACCTTTCACTGGAAATTCCTTTTCTCTCACTATGAGTATGTATATATCTGAAATGTTTAAATATCATAAACCAGAGATTTTCAATTGTGAAATTACTCCAGTTTTAAGTAATAATAATGAAAAAAAACCAAACAAAAAATGAGGGCTGGCAATAAGGGATTAATGATCCATGATTATTAGCATGAACAGAAGTGGAAACTGTAAAATCTATATAAATCAGTGATTTATGTTGAATACCTTCTTCTTTATGGCTGAACCTAAATTATCTGTTGGATTATGCTGCTGATCCATTTCAGAGCCTGTAGAAGTAGTTTATTTGTATGGAAATGAAAATGAGAAGACAGGAAGAAAAAAAACCTGGGTGTAATTTCTATACATTTGACCCTATGTAGCACTGAGTCTTGCAGCTGAAAAAGGCAACTGGAAGGTGCTCCCAGGTCCAGTAATGCAGATGCAGCATTATGTCTTCAGTGTGCAAGAACATTATATTTGTATTATAATATGAAATGTATAAATACAAATTAAAACCAAAAACCATGACTTTTACAAAATAATATTATGACTCAATGTATATACATTAAACATATTATACATGGATTTTGTATGTCTCCAAGTTTACTCACAACAGTTCGAGCAATGGTTTTCTGTGTTATTCTTGTGTTTTGAATTGTGAGTCATTCTTGCCATCTGCATTATATTATTATTCTGGATTAAAGAAATTAGGTACAGGATCTTGTTTAACAAAACTATACTAAAACCCAGTGCCCTTACAATTTAGATTTTTTCAAAAGGCTGGAGCAGAGAGGGTTTATTTAGAAATTGACCAGACCAAGGCTGAAGATTTGCCAAGTAAAACAGCTGTGTAACAAAGCCTAGAGTGTATCATGAGAATACTCTTTTTTGTAATAGTTACACGATGTGCTTATGCTTGGGGTTTTTTTAGAGGAGAAACAATTACACACAATTCGTTCTTTTTAGTCCCACGGTGCTTGTATTGCAGATAAAAATAGTTCTGGAAGTGGAAATTGTTTTGTATTTGACTGTTCTTTTAAACAAAATTCCTTTTCAAAATGAAGGTTATACAACTGGTATAATTTTGAAAAATAGAGATGAACAGGTGAAGAGAGTTGAAGAGAGTTTGGTCCCTGAGTATATATCTGGAAAAATCTATTAAAATCTAGACAATTGTTCCCAATGCCAGGGAACAATTGTGGGCACAAGTGACCACCGGTAAAGCATAATCCCTAAAGTGGCTCATCATCATTCCAGTTCAGGCCAGGGCTTTAATTAAAGGGCTACTCCTGTTACATGCCTCTGAAATGAATATAAACCTGTCCACCTTTCTTTTGTTTATGGACCTGCTTATGCTCTATGTCTTGTACATCAGAAGGTTTTCTATCAGTGTAGAAACCCTCTAATGAAGATTATCATGATACATAATTCTTTCATAACAAAGTGGGACATTTAGTTGGTCTGTTGATTGCAAGAAGTGGCTGACTCCCCATTTCCTTGAGTTTCTGTCCACTTTGAGGTGCCAGTAACGCTGGAGCAGAGAGGTGATGAGCAGCTCCTTTCAGCTGATGAAAGTTGTTAATGTAGCTGGCAATCAGTAGAGTGATCTCAAGAATCTATAACAGGAACATACAAAACTCTTTGAAAAATAGTGATGTGTTTTGACTGCAGAAAAAATAGCTGACTTTTTAGCAAGTGACAATCACCATCAACTGGAAAAGTACTTTACAAATTAATGATGGGGAGAGAGGAGATACCTAATAAAGCTTTTTTCTATTGCTCCTTGCAATTAATGTAATGTTATTCCCATCAGTACATATCAAAGATACTTTGTCTCCCACAGTCTTAAATGATTCAGAGAGATGGCTTCTTTCACTTTGAGAGAGATTTTGAAGTCCAAAAGATGACACTCTGAGAAAAAGCTTTCACAGTGTGGTCCCTCAGTTTTGCCAGAAAGTCTCCAGTGCTCAGAGAAGTCAAGATGCAGGGTAGATAAAGGGAATAAAGACTTTCCAGAGCTTTTTATCCTATTTTCTCTTTGTGATCCCTACAAACCTTGATGAGACACTGAGCAGGTTGCCCAGAGAAGCTGTGGATCCCCCACCCCTGGAACTGTTCAAGGCCAACTTGGATGGGGCTTTGAGCAACCTGGGCTATTGGATGGTGTCCCTGTCCATGGTAGGAAAGGGCAGAAGTAGGTGATCTGTAAGGTTCCTTCCAACCCAAACCATTCTGTGATTCTGTAACAGCACAATCTGAGGGAAACTTGAACAGATGTATTTTACTACGCTTATTTATGAAGAGCTGTGTTTTGACCCCAATTTATATGTGGAATCTTGTATTCTGTTTTCACAAATTATTCTGACTAAGAGCAAAATCTTTTTTTTTTAAAGAAATGTAGTCAATCTTACCAAGGAAGGAGAGACTCTAGATTTAAAAAGCATGAAAATTTCTTTTTAACAAAGGTAAAAATATCCTAGGATTTTTCACAAGACTGATCTTTCAGATGGTGTGTTCTACAATTTCACTGCAGAACACAAACATACTTTTTAAAAAATTATCTCTGGTGCTGATCAAGCAAACAGACTAGGTTTTAGGTACTGCATATAATTTCTGTCCTTAATATCCTTCTTTGTCCTTCTATGAAAAATCTGCAATTTTACAGAAATGGACATGAAAAGAAACACATCAGTATTGCCACAGTTAGCTCTTACATTACTAATTGTTTTGCACTTTAAAGTCATCTAACAAAAGTCAATAATCTGACAATGCTAGGATTAAAGAAGGTGTTTTATCTTTCACATCTGTTAAGGATTACCCACTAGAGATAGCACAAAAGCAGATGGTGGGAAACTGTTTCAGGTAACATACCAACCTTTGGTTTTGTCATGGCAAAAAGGTGTTTTTCAGTTGTTCTGTCCTTTGTCAGAGCATTGTTAACAACCAACATAAAATCATCTTGATAGCCTCCGAAAGTCATCAGGCTCTTATATGAATATGTAACCGTTAATCGCTTAAAAAAGAAAATCCCCAAAACAAAACACAAAGTTATTAAGCAGGACAGTGCAAGAAAAACAGATTATGACAAATTCTTCTTTTAAAAAATATAATTACACATATATTTTTCAATGGCGTTAGCCTCTTATGAGTCTTGAAATTAACTGCATTTTGGGATAGCTTCATTCAGACCTTCATGATGAGAAATTTTCATTGCAGATGATAACTCTTGTAAGTTTGAGCTCTGTTTCTATTCCAAATTAATCAGATCAAAGATACAAGCAGGTTTGAACTCAGCTCTGTAATTCCATTTAAATGAGTCTTGACTGATTTTGAGAGAAGTTAATTTTAGCAATTCCATTTGAAATTGAAGCAGTGTCTAAATAAATGGCAGAGTATGAGACATCTAAAAGAATTTAACTCCAGGACTTCTTTTTGTGCAGCAATATGTAGTTTGCATACACACAAATTAAATTCTGTTCTCTTTTTTCAACATCTCTGATGAAAATTAAATGCTCTTCAAGGCTCCTCAGTTTTCCATGTCTTGGTTGTTACTGTTCAATGTTTAAAACCACACTAGTGGCCTTCAAGTTAAGATTAACATTTAATTTATCATTACAACTCATATTTATTTGCTGTAGATGTTCACATTTAAAATTCATTGTCAGACAGTATTTTTACAATAACTGACAATGTCCTTTGGTTAATAAACCCCCTTTTGCCCTAATTTTGAAATAGTATTTTCTCTACCCCTTGCAACATCATTTCTGATAGCCCTGATCCTTCCTACAGAAAATCAGAATAACCCCTGGAAACTGAGGGTTTCTTGAACTACAAGTAAGACCTGCTGATACTTTAAACTGGCAGCGCTCTACAGAAATGCCACAGCTCTAGGAGAAGATAGTATTTTTAGGGCTTTCTGCAGTCTAATGCAAACTCATTTTGCTTATTCCCTATAGAGAGCTACTGTTTGCTCTCCTCATATTCTTCATTTTATTATTTATTTAACTGCAAAGAAATGTAATGAAAAGGCCTCTATCAGTACAATTATGAAGCTGAGATTTTAATTTTCTGATATTCAGTATTAGCACTTGCTAATAGCACCATGCCATTCTGTTTCTTTCCAGGATATAAATGAAAGCAGGGATCTTCTCAGGCACTGCTTTTTTTCACTGATTACTGTGAGTTTTTTGCAAAAACTTGTATTGCAAATCAAAGAAAAATCAGAAAAATCAGAGCCAAAAATGACATAATTAAATAACACTGGGTTTTATTACCTACTATTAAACAAAAATAATACAATGAAAATAACAATCTTTTAAAGTAACTGCTCTTTGCAGAGTCTATGTATTATGAATAATATTGGAAAATTAAGTCTCCAGGAAAAGAAAATTAATGTTATTGTAAGAACTGTAACTATGGATCTCCTGACATCTGAATGATTAAAACATTAACATTTCATTAAATGATATAAAAACTGTATCTGATAAACAACAATAAATTCTGTGCAAGTAATTCATTACTTATTTCTATTGTTAGTGCTGTTATAATGATGATAACATTACAGCATTTTGAAAGGAAGGAATTTTTGCTTTAAGAGAAAGACTAGATAACTTAGCATGGAAGGCTAATGCCATCTTTTATGTAGTATGCTGGTGAATCTCCCCATATACTCTACTAAAATCTACTTTGACCAAAATTAAAACAGAAATTTCACTTACCATAGAACTGTAATCCAGGATGCTTATGCCATCCTCATGTACAGCAAACCATATGAAGGACTTGTCATCTGAGGATATTGACAGAGGCTACAAAGGGAAATGTTCTTTAACATTTTGAAATTACCTATTTCAAAATGAACCAATGTGTGTATAATTATTAACTCTCATCTATTATAGACCTCTCTCCATCCACAGATCTTACATCAGTTCCCTCTCAGTGTAAATTTCAGAAAAGAAATTGAAACAGCTGCCCAAAGCCATGTAGGCAGCCAGTGGCAGAATTATGAACTGAACCTAATACTCTTGAAGCCTCCCCTGGTGCTCAGACCAAAAAAATGGTCTTTTTGTTAAAGTAAAAGGCAGGTGTTAACGTTTTTTCATTAGCTCATATGTGTACATAAACAGAGAACAGAGTGCTGATAAGCAATTTTATATACATATACATATATATAATAGATACAATGGGATTACCTAATAAAGCATAAGGCATGAGGTGACAGTTCTGTTTAACACAGATGTCATTTGAATCAAGAGAATTAAGATACTCTTAAGGTTTAAGAAAAATTGAGAGAGGCCAGGACAGAAGGGAGTGCTCTAAATTCCCCTTAACAACAACTCAGTGCTTCTGCAAGGTTCAGCTTTTGTAGCCAGTTAATGATATCTTTTCAATGTTCTACCAGTTATGAGGTAAAAAAGTCTAACAATAAAAAGCTATCTCAAGCTAAGATATAAGGAGATTGAATGATACTACCTAGATTAATAATGTCAAACAAGCAATAAGTGTATTGGAAAGTTACTATTATGGTATACTTGGTACTACAGCTATTATATTTCACCAGTATATGACTTAAACAAATTCATAATTTCACAAGAGATCCAATCACCTCATATACAACACAATTGTTTTCAACAAAAAGTTGTTACTGTTTGCAAATTATATTTATATTTAAAAACCCCACCACTCGAACTCAGTAAAGTTTCTTACTTTTGCTGCAAACAGTTTGGCACCAAAGAAAGACCATTTCCTGGCTACGGTGAGATAAATGCGCACACAGTCTGCAGCACTGTGCCCCCGGAGAGCCATCCATCTTGTAGACAATCGCTGACAAAGCTGTCTGTTCAAATGAAGTATGTAATTTAGTTATTGAAAGGAATTTAAATGCTTCCCCATAGCGAGTTTAATGAGCAAAAAAATAATGCATTTGTTAAAATGATAATTTAAGTTAATACAACAACTATCACTTATACAGTATTAAATAAATCCAAAGTGTCATTTAATATTTTAATGCACATGAACGTTATGAAGTATCTTCTAATTTCTGTAACGTTATGATTAAATATTGATGTAGCAGTTGCAGCATAAAGGGAAAAAGTCTGGGACAGCTTTTAATGTGTCTCTACAGAGAATCAATCTACCTTTATCAGTACTGAACAGCTATGTCAGTTGTCATTCCAAAAATCCATCCAGCTTAGCATGTATCTACCTAGTAGCAGATGTGGAAGATATCTTTGGGTTTGTTTTTTTTTGGTTTTTTTCAGTGCACTGCTACCAAAAAGGCTGCTTCTGATCAGCATTGCACCCTTGGCAAAAGAATACAAGCAACAGGGCAGGTATAGAGTGATTCTTTCCCTGCCACAGACTTCCAGCTCTGCCAACTGGTAGTTTAGGGACTGCTTGAACAGTTCAACAGATATCTGACTTATCCTCAATGAGTTAGTCTAATCCAGGACCTCTTACAATTTGTTCTTTGAAATGAATTGCATAAATTTCTCTTTGTTATGCATATACATTTGAATGCCCACGTTGTCTTCTGAGAATGTAATAATGTTACTATGTGCATATGATAATAGCTTTCAGTTTTCTCAGCTCTGTACTGAAGAATGAGGAAAACATTTCTGTGATGTTTGCTGGACTTCAAAAGTGCTGTATCACTGACTTTGGATAATTTATGACACTGTTTCGCTCGTTTTCATGTTAGAAGGCACTGATTCAAATGACTTGAAGGTTATTCATTGTAAATTAAGTGATACCTTACTAGCAAGTCCACTAAGTTAACATATTGCCAATCTGACTGGCTGCCAGAGATTGCACATTAGAATAGCAAACAGGTCAGATCCTCATGTCCTTTACTTTCAGTAACTCTTTAGTCTGTGCACAGACTTAATTTAGATTTGCTGAAAAAAAAAATAAGAATTTCAAAATCACTGGGTTTTGTAATGCTGTGTAGTAACTGGTACAGCTTTTGCTGGAATGTGTGCTTAATGATGGTCCTTTTTTTTTAGATTAGAAACATGCAGAGGAAACGGGTTCTTCAGTTTAGCAAGAAAATGAGTTTCAAACACAGGTTTAGGCAAATATAGCACAAGAGTAAATTGTACCCAATGACAATTTAAAACTTCCTTGTTTCACTCCTAGATTTTTAGAGAATATGAATCACAAAATACATCTCACCTTAGTTGTTCCTCTGAACAACCTTGCCTGTATCTCTTAGGGTAGAATCTCTCCAAAACTTGTTTTAATGTTTGGTTGGACTTGGACTGGGAAGTAACTTGCCCTGCTGGAGTTGAGAAAGGCCGTTCAAAATCTCCAATCTCTACCTAATGGGATGTCCATAAGAAAATTTTTTGTTACTCCAGAGTAATTTTCTAGCCGGATATTATGAACTGTCTTTCAATCTGTATTACCAAGTATAAGATGAAAACCAGTTTGTCAATTAATTTTTCACCAGTATAAAAGTTATGCAAGTAATCTTCTTATTTTCTATTTCCCATGGAAAAAAGTTAAACATCAAATATAAATTATACAAATATAATACTAGTTCTGCTCTGAGATTGCTAGGTCTCCAGCTAACACAAATCAGTTTACATTTATTGAATAACAACATCAAGTAACTTTCTTAATAACCTTCCTTTGAACTTTTAATTTTTTAAATATAACACAGATCTTATCAAGACCATGTCTAGTAAAGGAGTCTTAGACTTTCATTAACAGCTGTTACTTTGGAGTATTAACTTGCAGAAACCATTTAAGGAATAGTGAATGAATAAATGGTACATGATTACATGATATTTAATCCAAGAAGGCCTGACTGTGTAAGAGGTAAAGCACGTTTTATCCATAGTGATGGCCCAGCAGCCTATGCTATAAAGCATTTCCACTTGAAATCCAGATTTGCCTTACACAAAGATTCCAGCCCAGTCTGTTTCCTGCACTATCATATATAAAAGGTGGAGGTCAAGCAATCCTAGACCAGTTTGCTTATTAAAGTATTTAACCTGTAAAACTGCTGTGTGAGTCACTCGTGCATAAAGATTACCTGGGCTAAAAGAGCTGTTAATTCCATCGCTAATTCTTTGTTTACTGGGAAAAGTCCATTGACTATTTGATCATTTGTCTGATATACTAACAGCAGCTTCTCTCTCTCTGTCTCCCCATGAACTTGAACTGAAAAATAAAGCCTATAGAAAAGACAGAAAGTTATTAAATAAAGAAGACAGGAAAATGCATTAGCCCTGAGGATTAGCAGTATCTGCTCTGAATGTGACATGTTTATGTCAGCGTCAAAACACATTAGCAGAACAACACTTGCACTTCAAGTACTCGACAAGTATTTAATTTCAGTCCTCTGATTTCAGTTATGGCTTTTTTTTTTTCTCAGTTCTGCTCATCTCTTAAGGACTAGAAAAAATGAACTATGTTAAAAAAAATTCTCCAGTTACACCCATTTACTATTTTTGTTGCAAGCTTTGAGTCAGCCAATATTTTTCAGATGAAGAAATTGCAGAAACTAAAAAACAAATCTGGGGACAAGGCAGAGATATTATACTTGCTAAACAAACCTATTTTTGTAAGTAAGGCGTACAGTCCTTGTGCCTTCACATTTCCCAGGGTGTTGTTCTTTGGAGGCTTGCTCCCATTTTGAAATAATGTCACAGATCTAGAAGGAAAGCAATACAAAATGGACTTTGCCATGTCTTCCTATTTGAAAACACCTTTGAATAGAAATTGTCAACTTATTTTAATATCCTCTACCTATTACATATCAGAAACATACATAGCTTGAATTTTTAAGCTTACTGAAGTTAACTTCACTTGCATTTCTTAGTTGGAGCATTTAATAATTAACATTTTTGTTGTTTGCTTATCCTGCAACACTCATACTACATTGGAAGCGAGCCCTAACATGCTTATTTGGAAAGGTCAGGTACTTGATTTAGCAGAAGCCAGTGAATGTGTAATTATATACACAGTGAGTTGTTATATAATTAATCAAATGCCTTTGATCTCTGCCTTCTCTTTCTGCTGCATGCCTGAATTTTTCAGGTCCTTTCCAGTAACTACCATAAAGCTGGTATGAAGTTTGTTATAAAACACAACAAAAGTGGTTCACAACGAGCAGTGCAGGAGGGTAGGTGGGCACATGGGGAGGACATGAAACAAAGGTTATAGGAGCCCTGCTGGACCTCATGTCACTGTTCCTTCATAAAAGAGCCTTCATGGAAGCAGTAATGTGAGTAGCTTCTAAAGTTTCAGTTACCTAGAAAATAAGTACATCTTTTAGGAATTTTGCTTTCCAGATGGTAATTTTTCTGGTACAAGAAGAAGGCTGATTGTGATGACAAACTGTTTGTTTGTCACTAAGGCCAGGTTATATCACACCTTGTAACTCAAAAGTGCAGCTGTGAACGCTGGCCAAAGGGTGCAAAAGACTACTTTGGTAGAAGTACAAAATATTCATTATTCATTAGTTGCTAAAAGGCTTGAAAAAATATACCTTATTAAAGCACAGATTATATTGCATTTTTTCACTCTTTACTGCAAAGAATTTAATTCTAGCAATAGAGGAAACTAAAATTTAGAACAATGACAAGCCTTTCATTGGAAATTTCTTAAACTGAATCCTAAAATTATTCTGTATTTAGATAAAGAGCCCTTTCTTCTTTTCCTTCCCCAGGATCTCCATTCCAGTATCAATGTCTTCTTGGACCTCACATGGTCATCTTCTGGAGCTAAATCAGAAATGTTAACTGAAATCTCTAAATCCATGTTAGACTCCAATTGCTTTTTAGTTTTAAAGATCTGTGATTAGTAACAGCTTACTTTTTTTTAACTCACCTCTTACTTCTCTGAATAATATCAATGTCCTATTAGCTTTTAAGTATAGTTAACTGAATGAATTTAAGCAATTAAAAAAGTGATTTAAAAAAAATCTTTCACATTAAGAGAAAAAAGCTAAAGACAGTTTTCAGCTTGAAAAATATTTTCTTTTACATTTCCTGAGGAGAGCTTTGTCAAATGAAGATACTTCGATTTTTTACACGCAGAGCTCATTAAAGGCTTTTGTTTACCTTGATGTTTCCTTGAAGACAGTGCTCTATATCCTTGCCAGAGGGATCATCAGAAAACAGTGCAAATCCTGACTGAGCTGGTTTCCTCATCCCTGTATCTTGGTTCAGAGTGTTCAGAAATTCCTCCACTGTGGTAGAGGCATCAAACCCAACAACCTAAAAAAGTAGCCAAAAAGGATTTTGCTATCAAGCTCATATACCTCCCTTTCCATAAACTGAAAATTTTGAAAAATAATACCTCTACAATAACATTGGGATTGTAGGACCCATTCTATCCTCTGTGAATAACTTACTGAAACTCATTGAAAATTAAAAATTTCCAGAAAGGATCTGGAAAAGATTTCCACATGGCAAATCAATTTAGTGGAATTTTACTCTACCTAAAAATTATTAACTTCTCAGCAGATTGTACCTTATCTTACTTTGTTTACCAGATCAAATTCACTACCAAAATGCTTCCAAAAGTAATATTTTTGGGTTTATTTTCTTTGTTTATAGTGGTTTCTTTGCACTTGTACACTTGAATTTCTGTTACAAAATGTATGTAACAGGTATCAGTCTAGTATCTGCGCTTTTTGTGACAAATACCACTTGAAAAATTAAGAAGACTATGATTTTTTCCACTTTTCAATACAGTGATGAAACAAATGAGATCAGTTAATAATTTTTCATCATGTGCAACTTCAGAGGGATATTAGATGGCAGATCTATTCTGGCAAATTCAAAATATTTTACAAATGTTGCTTTGTCAGCAATACATAGGTCAGTAATATACAGAGCCTTCTAAGTTTTACTTCCCCCAATATGAATTTTTGTCCGTTGTTACTAGTATTGAAGCATTAGAGCAAGAGATTGCAAATGGCTTTTATATAAATACCAGTTGCTGATGTTCACTTAAATCTGTATTGAGGGTGTTTTCCTGTATTTGACTTGGTGAAAAAATTTTACTCTTGATAAAAAATGTCTTGAAAATCGATCTTGGACTTCTGTTTTGTACTTCTCAGTGGCTGGCATTAAAATAAAAATCTGCTGCAGAGATGAATACAGGAGTTTTCAATACATCTATAATTGCTTAGTTGCCAATTCCATTAAAGTAATTTAGTTACGATTAGTTACAATTTTAGTTAAATTAATTACAATTTTTACAAAATTAGTAATTTCTAGACATTAGTAATTTAATTACAATTTTTACAAATGTGGTTACAATTTTTACAATTAGTTACAATTTAGTTACAATTTTCTTAGCCCTTGGAACTATACAATTTTGACCAGTAAATAACTAATGAGCAATTACTCCTTTTCTTCTCCAAACTTCAATTTTGAAACCTTTTAGGTTGATTTAAACACATGTTGGGTTTTTTCTGTTTTACTGGGCAAGCAGGAAGCAGTAAGCAATTAAGAAACTTAGTGGTGAAAAAAAGCAGAGTTCTTCTGTGACCTGAAATGAAAAGTTCATTTGATATAGCCTTGATTTCATATAAAAACTTGCTTTCTGTCTAAGAATACTACGAATTGTTAAAAAAATTTTTTCAGCCATCTCTCACAGTTGGAAACACAAACCAGGATGTGAAGCAGCATGCATGGAAGCCTGTGAAAAGTTTCCTACAGGCTTTGACTAATGAAGTCCCACAAGAGTTAAGAACGAAGCTATGTTTGTTCTGTAACAAATATGGTTATCCTTCATGACTGATAATGGGAGTTACAGCTGTGCTTCCAGGCCTTCACTGATTTAACTTCCAAGATGTCTGATGAAAGGAAGTGGAATTTAATACCTTTCCCTTTCCTTCAGTCTAATTCATTCAGCTGGTGGTCAGGTTAAATAAGAAACAGAACTTTGGTATTTTTCATTCTTAAGAGGTTTTTCCTTTTTTTATTTTCTCTTAAAGATTTTCCCCCAAACCTTTACTCTTCGTTGGTCAAATCAGATCACAAGTACCTTGTGCCTGCCATTGCTAGCACTGGCACAAGATGAAACTTGAACCAGGTTTACCTTAACATTTACAATTCTCTTCCTGATATAATACTTCACGTATATGCTAACAGCCAGAGGTTGGGAGAGCTCAGGTTTTGTGGTCTACATGACTTTACCTGATATATGCCATTCATGAAATGAACTGGAATACTAAAGGGCAGTGAATGGTGGTAGGGATTTCTAAGAAGAGTGGAAAGGATTTCCATCCTGGAAGGTCTTGCTTCTCGGTCTCCGTTCTGCTGGGTACGTTCTACACATCGCTGACAATAGATTGCATATTTCCCAAACTCAGTCCTGTGACAAAAAAAGAAGTAAGGCAATTCTTGGGGACTGATTGAAAGGATAGTAAACTGTGAGTAAATCTCTCTGGGGATGCCAGATGGGAGGAGCACTCAGATTTCACGCTGTGAGATTTCCAACACATTTTTTGCATGTGGAATTAGAAAGAGAATTAGTCTACCAAGGCCAGCAGAACTGTGCCAAAGATGAACATGGCTCAGGGTGTGTTGTGTAATAACTATCATATTTTGGTTTTCATGGTTTTGCAGCATACAGTCAAGAGTTCCACTGCAGAGTATTTTTTGAAAAAAAAGGGGTAACTTTCCCAAGTGATGCATATAATTAACACGTACTATATTTTAGTAGCAATTCTACTCAAATTAATTTTAAAATGTATGTCAAAAATCTGATACAGGAAAGACTGAAAATAAGGTACTTCAGAAGGACTAGTTGACAAGCTGGGTAATAATATTTAGGCACACCTGGAATCTGCATTCTTCTTTAAATGAAGTTTAAGAAGCCAAAGGAATGGGTGCTGGGGCAGAAAGAGTCCAACGCAGAGAGCCAAGAGCTGCAATCCCTGAACAAAAGGAATACATTCACTGTTTTAAACATCTTACAATGTAAAACTTCCTGCTGTGGCTGCTGGCCAGCAGTGCGGCTTACTGTGCCAAGTCGAGACTGCTGAAATAGGAATGAAAAAAACAAAACACAGAGAAAAAGCTGACTAAATAAGCATGTCACCTCATTGAAAGGCCAAGGCTCTCTTTCTATTTACTTGTGTATAGCAAGTTTCTTTTGGGGCTGGAAATGGGAAAGCAGCTCAGTTTGTATAAAAAACTTAATACACAGGAAAAAATACTAAGGCTGCAAGGCCAAGCACTATGAAATGAGAAGCCTGTGAAATTTGAATTCAGCTCTCCTGTTACATATATGACGAAGCAACACATAAGACATTTTCCTCCTACCAAGTAGACAGTAACTATTGAAAAAAACAATTATTCAATAATTTGGTATATTGTTGTTGCTCAATATGTATCCACAGGCTTCACTTAATACAGATTGCTCTCATGTACCCTGGATATACACTTACTAATATTGCAACTACTTTTCTCACAATCAATGCTTCATATTGAAATTTAAAAAATGGTGTTTCTCCATCTTGATTTATCTGACTTGCCTGGTATTAAATAGAAATTTGACAGCACAGGCACAGATATTCCCTATCATCAAATATCTGTACTTTGATGGAGGATAGTTCCATTGAAGGTATACACCACAGCACAAGTAAGGGTAGAAAACTACAGAATGAATTTAGGACTTAAAAAAGCTTAGTGTAAGGCTGAAAACATTTTACTGAATGTGTTAGCTCTTAAAAATCATTCCAGTGTGTTATGATAGCAACAATATAGTTATCAGCATCAGAGGGAAGGCCTTGCCAGTGGTAAGAAGAGTACCAAAGAAGGATTATAATAAGTTTAAATTCCATACATAACTTCAGTGTGTTAATTGACATGAATGTGCTATGTCTGCTATAAAAACTTTGTGAATGTTTTGTGATTGAATAACAGAATGGCTTGGGTTGGAAGGGATCTTAAAAATAATATTGTTCCAAAACCCCTGCCATAGGCAGGGACACCTTCCCCTAGACCAGGCTGCTCCAAGCTCAATTCAACCTGGCCTTGAACACTTCCAGAAATGGGACATCCACAGCTTCTCTGGGCAACCTGTTCCAGTGTCTCACCACATATTGGATTACAGGCTGTTTCTAGATACTAGGTATGTCTGTTGGTCACGTTCTACTTTCTGTGGCAAGAGAAAAACATGACTATTACAGAAGCCTTAATATGGTAACATTTTCTGATCCATCTCCTAGTTCCGTAGATATTGCTCCACCATAAGCACAATTGTTCTAGTTCTGTTAATTTTATGCAAACTCTTTAATATTGGCTTTCCTTTCAATTTCAGTTCATTTCATTGTTACATATCTGGATATCAGTGAACAGCCAGCAGTGGACAAAGTAAAGAATTTTAAGTATGCATTTATAACCTAGCATGCAGGGTGCATGCAGCATGGCATACAAGAGGTGATATCTATCAGAAGCCCTGAGCATATCTGAAATTCCACAACATGGCACTGCAGCTTCTCTTCACACTCATGCTGTTAAGCTATGTGATTTAGCCCACCAAGCTTCCTGATGCAGCACCTCTTAGGAAAGAAGTGGTAAAAGACAATTAAGGAAAAGGTTTCATACATGATGTCTTACTTAACACTTAACTTGAAGACAGCCCATTTTATGTCCAGTCTTTAAAAACAGCACAGGCAGAGATATACTCTACCACTAGATACAGGTAATTTGTTGGAGGATAGCATCAGCTTTGTTTCAGGAAGACACAGCAGTAATTAAGATATTAGCTCAGCTTTTTATCCAAGTTTAAGTAAACAAATACTACAGAAGAGCATAGCCTCTTTACCATTCTAAGAAGTCTGTGTAGTTCCTTTATTGCTGCTGAAATCGATACCATTAAAATAAATCCTGGGTTACCTGTATTGGTCCTGTCTGGTTTTGTGGATGTCGACGTCTAGTCTGTTTAATAAGCTGGCAACAGATCTCATTTTGAAGTTCAGGATGTGTGAGGCAGATCTGCAAAGCACTTTGGGCCAAAGATACATGGTAATCAATGGCAGGAGAGTCAACTGCAGCATTTATAAACAACTGGCAGGTCTAGATATAAAATAATAAGCAAGTGAGTTTACATACAAAAAGCTCCAACAAATCTTTAAGATGTTCTGTATAACAAAAGTGTGCTTTAATTGAAGTCACAGTAAGTCTACCAGTAGACTAAAGAAACCCCACTGGTTCTGCAAAAAAGGGGTAAAAAGCTATGTAGTGAGACTTAAGACGAAAACACCTCCTAGAACCCATGCTTTTCACTCTGCATCTAATGGAGTGAACTATTAACAGGAGTTGCAACAGATGTAGTGGTATGCAAGTTTAAGGACATGCTGGACAAAGCTGACCCTTTAAAGGACTTGGAAATGCAAAGTCTACAGCTCTCAATGGCAGATAATGTAAAATGCTTGTGCGAGTAGCACAACACTGCAGAATATACACAGATAAGAAAAGCATAACTCAGAGTCATTGATTTACATCTTGGCTTTCCCTGGTATTTTTACTGTGGGTAAGTATGACCTTTCCTATCCCCTGTACCGTCTCAGGAAAGCCATGTGTTAAGCATTTATTGTGGTGTATTAGAAGAAAGTATATGCAGCACTCATTGCATTTACTCTGTATAATAGCTGATGGAATTTTCAAGGGATATAAGGAAAATTACAAGAAATGGATGGAAGCCTGATCTATTTCCAGTCTATGTGAAAATATGTGGATTTTGACACAGACTAATTTTTATCAGCAATTGAATAACCAAAACGTGACTTGATTTGTTTCTAAATAAATTCCCTTTCTGACTTTTAAACTGATTTATATGAAGTTTCAGTAAACCTCATACAAGTAATCTCTTATTTATTTATTTTAGGTAAGTGTCTGTGATTTGAACTAGGTCTGAAAGTGATTTACAAATAAATGTACATTTGTTTTCATCAAATAGGTACATTTCCTTTTAAACTTTCATGCTGCAGGATTGCAGAAAGTAAGATGGAGGTACTTCTTTAAAGTGTTTCAAACATTTCAGAGAAACCATCTGGAAGTTTGCCTACAAGTGGCCATGACTAAACATACAATGCTTGTCTTGAATTCCTTTCTAGATCTGAACCATTACATTAGAATTCCCCAGATATTTGATGTTTCAGGGAATTTGGTCTTTAGACTTGTTCAAGTTTTGTGGAGAAAATTCATTTATCCAAGCTCCATGCCTTCCAACTTGTAACTTCTTTCACGACATACAGAAAAAGGAACAGCAAAATTTTATTTTGTCTCTGAAATAGACTTTATAGCCTGAAAGAAGGTTAAAGGCATTGCAGCATAATACTCTCACCTTCCTGGCCTTTAACTGGGAAAGATGTAAGGTCTTAGCGGCAGACAAAATTTTTCAAGAAACTAGCTATGGTTCAGCAGTTATGATCTGTTATGTGTCTCCTAGTCAAAAGGCCTTTTCACTACTCCTGGGAGATATACATATGTATATTTTTAAAGGTGTATAAAAATCTTTAAAAGTGGATTCAAAAAAATGTTGTGAAACACTTTTAATAATTTTGCTCTGGAATATTTTCTCCATTTGTATTACTGAATATCTGATCCATCTTTTAAGAATAGCTACTTCATAGGAAAATATTTTCTTTTTATTAAAAAGAGCAGTACAATGTCTGTTTTCTATCTCAATTTGAAGTACTCTATAACATGCTTAAACTTAAATTTTGCTTTTTCTTCTGGTTATTAAAATGTCTCCCAGATGATTTACATGTATCTATGACAAAACTTTCGCCTAGTATTTTTTTCCTCCAGAATTTAATTAAAGCAACAGTATTTCAGCTACAGTTTTCTGAATGAAGAGATCCGTCAATTCTCAAAGCTGGTACATTCTTTGGAGCTATGAACTTCAAGACAAAATTTTATCATTCATGATGGCCATGGATTTTTCTAGTAACTTGCAATTTATCAATAACTTACCAAATAAGTAGGAAATCCAGAAGTTGAAGCCTAAACTGCTCCTCACAACCAAAAGTGATCTCTTTACATTGGAAGTGATAGTCTTTGTCGCGATAATATGAGGCCATTCTGCTGCTGTCCATTAGTTACCTCCACTAAAGATAAAAGTAAACTTCTCTTTGCTTTTTTCTTATCTGTTGAACATTCCTAGTAAGCCAGCTTATAGCCATTCTTTAGCTAAAATAGTCAGTTAATAAAAAAGGCATCTGCTATGGTTTTACCTTGAATAATTTAATTGCTTCGGTTTGCAAGGCTTCTGATGGCAATGTTGTAAGAGGGGAAGTAATTCCTTCTTTACTATGGCAAAGGGTAGGATGTCTCCAAATCTGAGAAGCTAAAAGGATAAAATATATAGGTTGGGCAATTAGTTCAAGACATAAGTACATTCAATAAAAAAGCACTGGAAGATTAGGATGTTGAAATGAAAACAAACTTACTGGCATCTCCTTCCACATTTAATAATTTGCAAAGAAGTTGTTCAAACTCAGATCCAACATTTACACTGGTACTTCCAGCTGCAACTGTCAGATGATAAAGCCATGTGTCCTAAAGCAGAAAAACACAGCAGTTCCCTCATTCCATGTTGGAAGGAGCTGCTTTGTCAGGATTTTGCTCTCAAGTTCAAACACTATCATGTGCTCCTTTTGAAGCCCAAAGGAGTTTGCCTTTGGTTGAATACATATGTATTCATGGTCTCTATGTTACAAACATTAAGCAAGGAAGATTGGACAGGGCACTCTTCATAAGTTTTTACCCTCAGAAATCATATCTAATTATCAGAGCATTCTTCCTTTCCTCTTCCAAAATCTTACATAAGTGTCTTTTTATCACTGCCAGATCCCGCTAACCTGGGGATAAGGTCAGAAAGCAAAACAAGGTCTACAAGATTACTTGAGAACAACGAAGCAATGATAATAAAAATGGTTTTAACCACACCCCTCATTGCTCCTTCACTGAAGTAGGGCAGTCTTTGCTACTGTTAATCTTTTCAGTGACAATGGATACAAGCACCCTAAAAACTCTCAGGAAGGTCAGCTACAGGTCTATCTACAAGTTGGTGTATGTGAGCAAAATTCTCCAGTTACAGCATATATGATATTCAGCACCATCTACTTATATAGGCAAGCCTGCTTATTTTTGTCTATTTTAACAAGGTTTACCCACAACAGCACTGATTTGCAGACAATTTCTGATCAATGTTAAAAAAGCAGAACCTTCTCCTTGCTTGTTATATCAAACTACAAGCCAGATGACTTGTAGGTCCCCTTCTTCCTCCTCAAGAAATATTCATATCACAGCACCATACCCATAAATGTGTGACTGAAACTCAATACAAATGTCCATTTACTACCTTCTCATGTTTGGATCCAATAAGAAGATAGGTGGGTCCTTGGTCTTTGGGGTGGATAACAACAGTGTAATGGGTTGATAATAAACTGCGACCACTAGCTTCATAATCTTCATCAGAATCACAGGATCTATCAACTTCTTCAACCTTTGCCTCAAAAAGCTTGATTTGGCCAAGAGGAAACTAAAAGTAAATATCACAAGTGGTGAGAGAGGTAATACTCACTTCAGTGCACCCTGATTTTATATTATATGTTATTGTATTTATTATTATACACAATTTTTTCTTATTCTGCAAAAAAACCGAAAAACATGAACTACCATCAATACTTATTTGTATTTGTTCATTTTCAGTCTTGCCAAGGAATGTCATATATGCCATCTATTGCAGAAAGCAAAAGGAGAATGACATGTGCCAAAATCTGAAGGTGAGATTTTCAAAAATTCTTTTTCTGCCTCTGTACATAAGTAATGCAATAAATGTCTGTTAGGGTGAGAGAAGTCATTCTTCAGAGTTTGCAGATCTGGTTCCAAGCAAAAATTCCCTGCATCAAGCCTAGAACTTCAATTATGATCTTGTTATTTCAGAGTGCAGTAATTAATGTATTATTGATGTATCTGTTTTGTTCGTGCTACAAATTCAGAAGGTAAATTTTTTGTGTGGTAGACCTTCAGTTGGTTTAATTCTCCAGTCTGATAGATCACAGTACTTCCATGTTAAGTTGTTTATGTAGTTTGCATCATTTATCAGGAAATGTTTTACATAAAAAAGTCATTCAAGTGGAAATTCTCACAGAAGTAATTATTTCATAGCCATTAACAACAGGAAGCCACTACGAACATAAATACAGCATGAAATCTTCACAACTGGGTAACAGTACTGACAGAGGCTGACAGTCTTCCTGGCTACTTTATGCAAAGCTCCCTCCTTTCTCACAGCCCCACTGTTCTTTCTCTAGCCATTCAGACATGAGGATGTTCAAAAGAATGTTATTTAATGGTGGAGTGAAGCAGCTTTGGTTACTGAAGTAAGTTGTCTTGAAATCACAGCGCCAGTGAAAAGTAGATGAGGCTTCCCAAAAATATTCTTTAAAAATTGAAAATACCATACTGGAGAGTAGCTGGTAAGTTTTACTCAATCTGGGGTGGGATTCTTGGATAGTGATTTAATACAACGAGCTGTTAATAATACTGTCATTTGAAGAAAACATCACATAGTGGTGGCCCTTTGCTCCAGTGCCTTCACTAGTGAGGATTAAAGACACATGTGGTGATTTGTATTTTCTGTAGTGCTTCTGAAGCATTCAACTTTTTGAACAAGATAAGATTCTGAGAAGCAAAAGATGTCATTTCACATGTAAGTAGTCAAGATTGATTTCTTCACCAAGTATAACTAAAACATGGCTCATTTTTTAATTTGAATTCCATTTTGAAAGGAAGCCTTTTAAATGGACTCCATTACTCTATTAACCACTGCAGATTGCGTAATTTATTTCTGCACAGACACATTCAGCTACAGAAAGTATGTTCTTAATTAGCAAATTGTTGAACATTAGAAATGAACTAGATTTGGAAATTCTTCATACATATTCTGCTTACAAAAGCTAAATCCTTATTTTATTACAAGTTAGCAAATTAGTTTCAATTTTACTTTAAAAGGGCAGCAAAACTTCCACCAAATGTGAGGGAAATTCACAAGAATCCAGCAAAATTCTTAAATGCTTCTAAAGAGCATGCTATAATTCCAAAATCTTCAATGGTAAAAATGTGTAAATTCAGAGATTTATCCATAGGAAAAATTGCAAGTTAATTTTAATGTCTCTTTAGGATGAGCTAGAGATTGATACTCTAGTCAGGTGATTCCTGAATTCTGTATTACATTGTTTTAATGTAAATAAAATGTTTTAATAGATGGTTACTGCTATCTTTTTCATGTAGTTCTTGAAATAAGGTTTAGTTGAATGTTTAAAAATGGCTAGAAATGGAAAAGATGAAAAAGGGAATAACTAGCTCTACATAAAAATTATTAATTACTGGCTCCATTGTTATAATTTGCTTAGGACAGAAGTAAAAAAAATGAAATTTTCTGGGTATTTTTTTAACTGTTAGTTATAATGGCTCAGTGGACTGTTCCAAAATCTTGTTTCTCATCCACCTCCATTAAAAAGATGTTTCTTGACAAAATACAATGCCTTGGGAGCAAAGGGACAGGTGAAAATTATGGCTAGCCAGTGTCCTAGCTCTTGCAGCACTATGGAGGTACAGTGACATACCAAAGAGCAGGATTTGGAAGTCAACTGAGGGATAAAAAGAAGATTTAAATTCTTCAAACCTGCAGTCACTGCCCCCTGCAAACATATATTAGAAAGGACCTCCTTCCAGAAGTACATGGCAGCTAGGACTTTTCTAATGAGTCTCATGCCTGTCAGAAAGGGACACCTGAACTGTCAGCAAATCAGTGTCCCCCTTCAGCTGAGATGAGATGCAGAACATGTATCATGTCCTGTAGAAGGAGACTGAAGGGTGTGCCCTGGATTAGTAGCAATTAGATATGAACCTTCCAAGCTGACAATCTGTGCACAATGCCTAGGGCAATTGTACCTTAAAAAAGCTGTAAGTTACTGTTTAAAGTCTACATTCATTGAAGAAACAAGTAAGGGACCTACCTTGTCTTCTTGATTACGGAAATAATACAGAATTTTTCCAACTAGGGTACACCAAACTCTTTTGGAATATCCATGTTTCACCTGTAATTACAGAACATTAGGAACAAGCACGGCCAGAGAAATACAGACTAGTTTTCACCATCTCTGAACTTTGGCAATACTGGGAATAAACGCCTTGGTTCAAATTCTTTTCCCAATTGCTAGACAAAAAATTAAAACTTCATAACTCCATTAAGGGCATAAAAATCTCCTAAGGCCAGTGTTTTTCATGTGACTTTGAATCAGGCCTAAATTAATGGAAGCTAAGGAAATAATCTGTCACAGTGAGTAAACACAGAAAAAGAGAGCACTCCACTGAAATCAGATTGGTAAATTAGCTACTGAAACATACGCTGAACTAGGACACCACTGAAGTGCAAATGGAGAGCTCAACACAGGAACTAATGACTTAAAAAGACAAAGACAAAACCAAAAACCAAATCAAATCAAGTAACTAGAAAAAAACAAATTGCCCCAAGTAGGTGAGTTGGTAGTCCTTCTGGATTGTTCACATTGTAAAGTACTGAGGAAGCTAACACATGTCTGTTTTACTTGTATTTGTTTTATTGTAGGGCCATTCTTATCTGGCTATTGTTATTAAGAAATATGGAATAAAGCAGGTTGGGGGAAGAAGAATTTTTCTACCTTTGTAAGTAATCCTTTCATGGTTGGCTTGATTTCAGACTTTATGAAGAGTGGGCTGGCAGCCTGTATTTTAAGAACATTCTGTAGTACTTTGATCCATTCTTCTAAGATGTTGGGAGAATCGGCAGTCAGGTAGTATGTTCGTTTTTCTGTGGTCAGCTATGTAGTAACAGAAGAGTCTTGAGCTTCAAGAACCTTATACATTTGACCCCACAGTGATGGGGTTGTAACATATACTACCCAATGTAGTTTCACAGCTTTGGGGGGTTTATTTTCCCCAAAGTACTTTTCATTAATGAAACATTCCATAGCCAGGCAGAGCAGACAGACCCTTTCTAAGTCTTTATCTGAAAAATTCCAGGACACCAAGTTGAGAAAACTCAGTTTATCTCCTTTCAGATAAGTGACTTCTCTCAACCTCAATGGCTGGCCCCAAGACTACTCTCTTTATTTCTATCTTATATGTGATGACTGACCTTTGTAGCAATACAAACAAGACTCCACGTAGGCCTTTTTATATATTCTGTAACTGATGATTCTTTGGTTTCAAATGAAGGGTACTTATTATTTAATTCCAAGTCCACACTTGGACTTCCAGTGCAACAGGGACTGGAACAACGAGTT